GAGGCTCGCCTGGCCCCGCGTGCTGTTGGGAGTGAGAGCGGCAGAAAGCTCTGGGGACCCCAGCACTGTGTCCCAGTTCCTGAGCCCACGTGTGGTCCGTGCCCGCCCTGCGCAGTTTAAACTGGACGTTACGTGTACATTGTAGATACACCTTCATTGTGTTCTAATTTATCAGAAATGGATTCTCTTTAGAAACTTCTCGTTGACTTGGTACTTGAAAGGGGAACCCTTGATTGAAGCGGGGACCTCGGACGGGAGGGGCTGCCTGTCTCTTGTTTAGGGAACCCCCGCTTTCTCAGCTGGCAGTGTAATACAAATAAGGCTCAAGTGTTCGTCCAACTGCGAGGCCTCAGAGGGCAGCGTGGCGGACCCAGGGGCTGGGGCTGGGCCTGGGGTACAGCACAGGGGTGGCTGTTGGCCACTGAGGAAGCCCAGGTGCCACACTCCCAGCTGTGCCCAGGGAGCGTTCTGGCCTCTGTAACGCTAAGTGCGTGCGCGAGGGTCTTCATTGTGCCTGGGTGGCCTGTGGGGACCACCCCCCTCCCTGGCCCAACCACCAGCCATCAGACAGGACACTGGCACCGGCTCATAGCTCTTTATTGGGTCAGGGCGGCCCGGGGCGGCCTAGGCTGGCTGCTCCACCTCCATGAAGTAATCTAGGAAGTGCTCCAGGTCCTCATATAGGCTGTTAAAGCTGGACAGGCAGAGGCCTAGGCTGCTGCTGTCCAGGGAGGATGCGCCCTCCCTCTGCACACGCTCCAGGGACGCCTGGCACAGCCACGGCTCCAGCTGAGGGAGGATGCAGTCAGCCCGGTTGGGGCTGTGGGGGGGTTGGGGGGGGCAGCCTCCTGGGGGGACCCTGGCCTCACCTTCACCAGGACCAGGTTCCTCTCCTTGGGCCTCCTGGCCGACAGGTCCTGCCCAAAGCCGAGGTAGACGGTGTAGTGTGGGGAGTCCCGGCGCCTGCGGGCCTGGAATTCCATCAGCTCTGCAGGGCGGGCGTGGTGAGTGGAGGGCCCGGGACAGGAGGGCGGGAAGGACTTTCATCCCAGAGTGGGCGCCACTGACCTCGGAAGAAGGTGCCAAAGTCGAGGATGCAGGTGTCACGGTTCCGCTCCAGCAGGCAGGCGGGGGCCGAGGGGCTGTCGGAGCCCAGGTGGCTGCCCACCTCCCAGTAGACCTTACATTTGCCCAGGCGCTGGGCCCACAGCCCGGTCCTACGGAGCTGGAGCTGCAGGCCGGGGGCTACGTGCTGGAGCAGCGTCTCCGTGTAGTGGAGCTGCTTCTGGTCGGGGAGCTGGCCGGGGCAGGGGAAGGCCACCAGCTGGGCCTCCGGGGCTGGCACAGCAAAGCCAGGGGGGCCATACAGGAGCATGCAGCTGGGGCCCCTGACTGTCTCCTGCAGCACCGTGCGGCCCTTGTACATGATGGTCACGTGCAGGGCCCCCAGGCTGGGCTCTGCGTGCAGGCCGAGCTGTGGGCAGGGGGCCCCCGCCAGTGGGGTGCAGGGCTCCACCTCAGGTGGGGGCTGCCAGGCCTCATGGGCTGGACCTGCGTCTGGGGAAGAAGGCCTGAGCTGGCACCGGCTCCCAGCCCCCCCCTCTTCCACTCGTTCCCCGGCTCCTCACCTGTCACCTGGGCCTGGGGCTGTGACCTGAATCCGGGGGCCTCCACAGCCCATGAAAGTTCCAGTTCCCCGGTAGGCAGCTCTGGGCCTGAGGGCGGCAGGGGGACAGTTGTACTGGCTTCGCTGGCCAGCACCATCCCTGTTGGACCGCCCCTCCCCTTGGCATGGCACCGCCGTTCAGCAGCCCCTCACCGCAGGCCACCGGAAGGACTGGGGCCGCGGCCTGAGCCTCCAGCACTTGCTCCAGGTGGCTCTGCTGCAGGGCCTCCAGCAGGAGGTCCTCCGCGCAGGCAGCCAGGCTCAGGAGGGGGCTGGGCGCGCCGGGCACCGGGCTCCACCTGGCTGGTCCAGGCCCAGGACTCGTGCCAGTATCTCCTGCCAGGCATGGCCCAGAGAGCGCCCCCTGCAGGGGAAGACCGTGCTGACAGAGCCGCTCACAGCCCAGGAGGTGGCACAGCCCCCTGAGCCAGGAGGGCAGAGCAGCCTTACCCTGGCGAGTGAGGCATCTTCAAGAGCCTTGTGGTCCCCCTGGTCAATGCCTGGGCTTCCTGAGGGAGAGTGGGGGGGCAGCACTGGGCCCTGAGACACGAAGCTGGCCCCTGCCCCCCTTCCCTAGTCCCAACAGCCCCCTCCCATCAGCCTCCCCAGGACCCCCTCCAACCTGGCACCATCCTCTCCCAGACCAGTTTCTAAGCTAAAACCACAGATCTGACCTCGCCTGCCCCCGGACAGAACAAGTCCCAGCACCGGGCCCTCCCTCTGCCCGCGCAGCCTCCCCACGTCCCACCTCCGCACCCCTCCTCGGGGCTGAGCGTGAACACTTTGTGCGGGTCGGTGGGGTCTCCCGAGTTGTCGCGCAGCATCACGAAGCGCTTGGTGCTGCGCAGGGCACAGCGGAAGTTGGTTTTCCAGGCCGCCAGGAGCTGGCCCTCGGGGGCCGGC